CTTTGCTGAGTAAAGTAACTTGTCAACTACTGTAAATTCTCGAATCACGAAAGAATTCATGAAGAACCGCACTATTGCTCCTTTAAGTATTTTGTATTCTAATTAAGAGCTTTCGCATAATTAGATTTCTTTTGGAGGACGCGACGAAGTTGTGCCGACACTCAAAAGTACGGTTACAACCTATATAAAGAAGAAATAGAGAAAATAGAATGGAAAGGGGAAGACGTGCAAGAAGGATGGGAAGAATTAGAATCGGAAATAAACTCAGCAGTTGTATGAAAAAGGACAGGAAAAAGAAGAGGGCTAGGTGGGAGCCCGTGGTGGGATAGAGAGTGCAGAGAGAAAAAAAGGGAGAAAATAAAGTAAGGAAACGATATAGGGAAGGAGAAGAAAGGTGGGAGAATTTTCTAAAGTGCAGAAGGGAGTAGAGGGAGGCTTGTAGAGTGAAGGAAGAATTACATAAAAAGAGAGAAGAAGAAGAAATCGAAAATATAAGAACTGAGTCACAAGCATGGAATTTTATTAATAAAGGAAAGAAGAAGAGGGAGGGGATAAGTAAGGAGATCAAAATGATAGATTGGGTTAAATACTTTACAAAGGTGTTAGGATGCGAGAAAGAAAAGAAAGAGGAATCGGGAATAAGGCAGCATACAAACAGAGTAGAAGGAGTGCAGATAAACGAGGAAGAGTTAAAAATGAAATCAAGAGATTGAGGAAGGGTAAAGCAGCTGGCAGAGATGGAATAAAAAATGAGGCGTTGATTTGGGGAGGGGAAAAGATTAGGAAAAAGTGTTGGGGTATTGTTAAAAATGTATGGGAGGGAGAAGGTCTGTCAGAAAACTGGAGAGTAGGGGTAGTGGTTCCCATATGGAAAAAGGGGGATAAAAATGTGCCCGGAAATTATAGAGGAGTAACATTAACAAGTATAAGGTATAAGATATACGCAAATATCCTGAATAAGAAGATTATACGGGAATTAGATGAGAAGGAGGGGTGGAGCAGATCACAAGGAGGGTTTAGAAAAGGAAGAGGTACAATAGAGAATGTAAAGATCTTGCAGCATATAGTAGGGAAGAGAATAAAAAGTGGAAAAAAGGTGTGGGCGATGTTTATAGATCTGAAGGCAGCCTTTGATAGGATAGATAGAAAGATTCTATGGGAAATGATGAAGAAAAGAGGTATAAGTGAGGATCTAATAGATAGGGTACGGGAGATATATGAAGAAACGAAAGTTGTGGTGAAGATAGGAGAGGAAATGTCAAGAGAATATCGGGTAGAAATAGGAGTAAGACAAAGATGCCCTTTAAGCCCTA